TGTTGGGAAAATCTGCTGTCAGAGACCTCTCCAGAGCGCTTAAAAGCAACAATATCAGTCCAGAGACGAGGGTGCACTTAGTCCAGGCTATAGTCTTCACAATTACTTATTATGCTTTAGAGAGCTTGACAATGACTAAGGATGACTGAAGAATTGATGCCTTCGAGTTGTGGTGCTGGAGAAGAGCCTTGAAGATATGGATTGCCAAGAAAACAAAACAGGTCTATCTTGGAGAGGGTGAAACCAAGTCTCTCCTTTGAGGCTAGGATTTTGCATCTCTGTCTCACCTTCTTTGGGCATGAGGCCAAGAGAAACCAATTTTTGGAGAAGGACATCATGCTTGGAAAGGTGGAGGGACAGCACAGGAGACGAAGACCCCAGATGAGATGGATTGGTACTGTAACTAGGGCAATGAGGTTTTGTGTGTTGAATTTAGTGAGACTGGCTCAGGATAGGGAAGGGTTCAGAGCTGTTGTACGTAGGGTACCTATGGGTCGCAGGAGACTTGATGGCGCATAAGAACAACAAGAAGTCCAGATGCATTTCAGTGGTTTATTTTGTATCAGGTTGCTATTGCCAACAGTGACTAATAATGGGCTCGAGCATATCAGAGATCCTGAGGTTGGTGCAGAATAAGGCAAGGTTCTGATCTGTTCATAGATTTGCTGTGAGTTGTAGTTGATTCCGTGGCACCTAACCATTTTGGCACAGAGGAAGCGAAAAGGCCAGATTCACTCCCTCATACCTACGTGTCTGTGATATGTATATTTAATGAATTATACTATATTAACAGGGAGTCCTGGTGGACAAATTATTAAGAACAGCTAACTGAAAGGTTAGCTGTTAAATATACCAGCTACTCCATAGGAGATAAACCTGATGGTCATCTCTTATAGAGATTTAAGCTTTGAGTCTGTCCCACAGAGTTGCTATGAGCCGGAATTGACTTGCTGGCACACAATCATAACATATCAGCATCTCCACGAATTAACTGAGAATTTTTATTTTGCTTTTACTGTTAAGATCTAAATACCTTGTGCTTTGCTACAAAACATGTTAACTTTAATCACTGGCTTTTGTTTATTAATTGTACAGTTACAATAATAAAATTAATTTCTTTCAAATTTAGCAAAGGATATGGGTGATAATTGGATAACATAATCAATATAATCAATATCACTGAGTTATAAACTTGCAAAATGTTGAACTGGAAAATGTGTTACATATATTTACCCTAATTATTTTTTTCCTCTTAGATAATGGAACTTGGACCCAGCTTTGGCTTGTATCAGAATATCATGAACAGGGCTCCTTGTATGACTATTTGAATAGAAACATAGTGACAGTGGCTGGAATGATCAAATTGGCACTTTCAATAGCTAGTGGTCTAGCCCACCTTCATATGGAGATTGTTGGTACACAAGGTATTATTTCCTTTTTGGTTTTCTCTTTGAATAAATTAATGGAAGTGCCATGTTTTGTTTTAGTGTTTAATTGTATTTTGCATATTACAAATAATTATCCATGTAAAGAAATACTAAAGTTACTTTCTAAAACTACATGTTTTGTCATGATTTTATTATCTCTCACTACCTATACTGTTGTGATTTTTTTCCACTATCTGTAATAATATTTTTTTCTCTAGTGACTCCATCTTTGTCATTTCGCATGTATGCCAGGGAGAGCTTGTAGTGGTAAACACCATTTTTAGTGTTTATCTTTGTTTTAAAAAATATACATGAAAACTGTCACATGATCTTGGAAAAATAGGTGTCATATATTTAGAAGCCACATAATACCTAGTATATTTTCAATGTTAGAGTGAATAGAGAACACTAGTAAGTCATTATACTAGGAGGACAATTGTTCTCAACTCTGTACTCATTCTTAAGAACTATTCAGAATACTCCAAAATTTGAAAGTATGTGGATTATATCTATCAATATCTACTGTACTAGAAATGAAAGCTTAGAAATTGAAAAATATTTTTCTATTTAGGATAACTATAATAAACCAATTAAACAGTAGCAAAAGATAATTTTGAAAAATGCTGGATAGTTTCCTCCTATGAAATTAACTGCCTCTGAAAACCCACTGGAGGGTCAGCTATAGGTCATAGCTGTATGGTCATGTACTATGCAGCACATAAAAAAACAATAATTGTTTTAAGCGTTTGTAAATGTCCTTAATTCTGGATTTATATGTGTGTTTCTCCATTCAATTTGTTCTAATATATTATTTGGATTAAAGTGTATGGAAAAGCTCTGATAATCTAGCGGTAAGAAAGTGCTGCGATTGTAATGGCAAATGGTTCAAATCCTCTAGCTGCTTCAGGGGAAAAGGATGAGCAGTCTATTCCCATGAGATTTACTGCCTCTGAAAACCTGCTGGAGGGCCAGCTCCGAATCAGCACACAACAACGACATACGAAGAGTAGTTGACTTCATTCAGAGATAGGTTGCTGGATAAGGATTTCAAAGAACCATTCTTTGGACCATATTTGAGAACTACTGATCAAGGGTAGAAAATATTTGAGATTGTAATTCTTCCATTCATCCAACTAATATTTAGGAATGCCAACTTTGAGCTACAAGGAGCACTTATGGGACAGTTTGTAGAAAGTTGTCCTATTAACCCATAGGCTACGTCTTTTTAGAGGTTCAACTCCAGTTGGAACTCCAAGGCAGAAAGACGGACATTCTTCTCCTATGAAATTTACTGCCTCAGGAAACCAATTAAGCCTCAGTGCTAAATTGGTTCTGACTCGATGACAATGAGCTGTGTGTGTGTGTGTGTGTGTGTGTGTGTGTGTTGACCATGTGCCACAGAGCATGTCCTATGCTTTGGCATGTTGATAAACAAGACAAAGTCATTGTCTTCATTCAGCTAACAGTCTATCCAGTAAGGAGTGACAGGTAATAAACACGTATATAAGTAAACAAAATAATTTAGATAGCTAAAGAAACTCAACTATGAAGAAAGCAAAATGAAATATTGTGATGATGATGATGGAGGGCATCAGGGAAAACATATCTGAGACAGTGACATTTGAACCTTGTTCTCAAAAAATGCTTCCTTTTGGAGAAACAGTCTTTATTAAACAAAAATATGACTATTATTTCCTTATGATCCATAGGTAAACCTGCAATTGCTCATCGAGATATAAAATCAAAGAATATTTTAGTGAAAAAATGTGAAACTTGTGCCATTGCGGACTTAGGCTTGGCTGTGAAACATGATTCAGTACTAAACACTATTGACATACCTCAGAATCCTAGAGTGGGGACCAAGAGGTAAGATTAATTACTTGAGTTGCTTATAAGACTGGAAAGACCAGTTGACACCAAATTGACTCTGATTTATGGTGACTCCCAAGAGTGAAATTATGTGTCATAGGATTTTCATGGCTGATTCTTTGAAAGTAGATCCCCTTGTGCTTAGCAACTAAGCAGATCAACTGTAGCATCACCCAGGACTCCTTAACCACCCAACTAATGTGAATGTTTGGGACACTGTATAGAGAGATTGAGTGGAAATGAGATATCATGAAAGCAAGAATGTCCTTCCGGCCTCTGAGGATTTGGTGGGCAGAAGAGCACAGAGCAAGGAGAGATGGCAATTTGGCCAATAGAATGATGGCAGAGATAGTGATACATTGTTTTGAGAGTGATACATTCAGTGAGAATATTTTTCCTGAAAATTGGGAAAGAGCATGTAAGCTGCATATTACTCAAAAAAAAGCTAAATACCTCAAAAATGAAATACAGAGCATTAATACATAGTTATAGTTCTTTATGTTCTAAATAACAGATACAGAATAAATATATTGATTGTTGTTGTTTTCAAGTTGAGAACGACTCATAGTGACTCTTTGAACAAAAGATCTGAACCCTGCTCTATCCTGAGTCATCCTCACACTTCCTGACACACAAGAGGCCATTGAGTAGGGACTGTATAATAGATATCTATGTGTTGTTATATTCCATTTTGGTTTGGCTTATAGTATTCTGTAAGTATTTAAAAATATATTGTTGTAATTACTTTTGTTTTCATCTATTATGTTTCTTGTTATTGTGTATGTTTGAGTCAGTCAGAAATGACCCTTCAAAAAAAAAAAGAAAGAAAGAAAGAAATGACCCTTCAGCAAGTGTTTAGAGACAGTTAACTGCACAAGAGAAGACTGCTCATTCTTCTCGTGTGGGGCAGCTGGTGGATTTGAACTGTGTAACTTTGGAATTATCTCTCAAATTGATTTCTTTTATAAGATAATAGAGATTTTGCAAAGTTACTGCTAGAAGCAATTCAAGAATACATATTACAAACAAACATGAGTCGCACAAAGCATACTACGCACATATGAGGATAGGTATGTCAGTAACAGGATTTTTGTTGTTGCCATAGCCAGCCTATAGGGTCAAAATAGTCTGTTTTCAACTATTTGAATTATAGTCTGTGCATTACTCTGGGCATAATTTCACAGCTCAGACCTTGGAACATATTTTCCTAGAATTCTAAAGTCCTTAAGAAGAGAATTTCTAAGGTGCTATAGTTGACCGCCAAACCATATTTGAGATTTTAGGACAGTTTTATAAGTCTTCTACTTGGCTCCCAATGAGACCGCTGGAACACTTTAAAGAAGTTTATTTAGACTGTGAAGTTCTAATGGACCTCACTCCTTTTCTTTGGGGGGAAAAAATTCCCCAAACCAATAAAACCCCCCTTCTTACTATCTGATTGTTGCCCTATGAGGGAACTTCAGGAAAGTGTGGAAAGCAGAATTCCCTAGGAGGTTCTAAAATGTTAAAGGGCCTTGAAAGGATAATGAATGCTCACTTTAGCAATCTGGGAATTCCTTAAAATCTCTTTGTCTAGCTAGACTCAATCAAGTCCCACAGATTTTAGATGACTTCTATTTAACACTCTTCAAACAAGTCTATAATATTTTATGTTCACTTTTAAAATTGTCACCCAAAGAAGATATTTGAGAAATGCTGCCCAAGACAGTGTTGGAATCTCTGGACACGACATTGAAGAAAACAGACGCTTTGCCCTTATGGAGGAGGCTCTGCGTGGTGCAACAGTTAATGTATTCAGTTGATAACCAAAAGGTTGCAGATTCCACTTTTTAGTGCCTCATGAGAAAGGTCTGGTGATTGAAAAAACCAACCAGTAAAAACCCTATGAGGCACAATTGTATTCTGATTTATGCAGGATTACCATGAGTCAGAAGCTACTTGAGAGTGGAACTGTCTGTGGTAGTGAAATCCTGAAGGAAACCCAGCTCCCTCACCCCGATGGAGTGCTTGGGTCACTGCATTTTCCTCTGGCTTGTGCTTTCTGAAGGAGTTCTGGTAGCTTAGTCAGTAGTGAGTTGTGCTACTAACCCAATGGCCACATGTCTCTGGTGGTTTGAATCCACCAGCAGGAGGAAAATGGGTAATCTGTTACAATTTATAGCCTTGGAAATCCAGTGGAGGGACTGGTATGACTTGGAACTAACTCAAACGTAGGGAGTTTGATTTGTTTTTTTTAAAAATTTGTACTTTCCTGTGACTGTAGCTGGATACTGATACATATGTTAGCACACTGAGTGGTATGAGCTCTGTTTAAAAAGTGTTTTAATTCAAAGCTGAGTTAGTAACTCTATGACTTTATCATTGTATCTAATTTCTACCTGCAAAATTGGTGAGCTCTGGTGACCTATAGTGGTAAGGAGCTGAACCAACAACTGAAAGGCATGCAGTTTGAAACCACCATCTACTCCTCAGGAAAAAGACAATCTCCTCTAATATGACTTAGAGTCTCTGTAAACTTTCTGGAGTATCAGTTTTGAGTTGGTTCTGACTCCATGATATAACAAGAAACTGCCTTTCTCTGATATCAGGTTTATTGTCTGGTATCAGGATTTATTAATACTATGTTTTACTGAACTGCTATAAAAGTCATCCAGGGAATCTGAAATGTCTGTGTTTTTGAAGGTATATGGCTCCAGAACTTCTTGATGATACTATGAATGTGAATATCTTTGAGTCCTTCAAACGAGCTGACATTTACTCTGTTGGTCTGGTTTACTGGGAAATAGCCCGCAGGTGTTCAGTTGGAGGTAAGGCTCTGAATTTTTAAGACTTTGGAAGGAAGTATTTCTGTTTGCCATTCCTTGATGCTCTAAATACAAACTGTGATTCCGCCCCCCCCAACTTCTTTTCCTAAGCAGCACATTAAATTATTCCTAAATATTTAAGGAAATAACTCTGGGTGCTATTTTTCTAACAGCAAAAGAAGAACATAAAGGAACTGCTGTAGATTTTATCATGTAATTATTGCTTAGGGCAGGTAGTGGGAGTGGTTTTCTGATTCCCATAGTGATACTTTGTGAACCACTTAAAATTTATCTTCTTTGAATTTGTATGCAGTTAGCTGTATCTCTTCTTCACACCAGAAACTGAATGAAGTTAAATGTGTTGCCAAGGCCACAAGACTTGATTTCTATTTCTTAGGCTTTTCCTTTTCTATTCTTTTTTCTTGTAATGGTGGGTGGGGGTGTGGGAGTTGGAGGTACTGACTTCTATCATGCCTACTCCAGCTTATGTTGTTATTGTGGACCACAGTATCGGAGCTGACCCATAGCTGACCCTCCAGCAGGTTTTCAGAGGCAGTAAATCATACAGGAGGTCAATGCCCATCCTTCTCTTGTGAAGCTGCTGGTGGGTTTGAACGGAATGCTTTTAGAATTGCAGCACAGTTGCTTACCACTAGGCTACTAGCGCTCCACTCAGCTCACAGTGACCCCTTAGAACAAAATGGAACTGTCCTTGGGTTACCAAGGCTGCAAATCTTCACAGAAGTAGAATAACTCACCCCTCTCCTTTGGAATAACTGGTAGCTTCAAACAGCTGACCATTTTTAGTTAGCTGCCAAATTCTTTAACCATTATACCACCATAAGTGGGGGGAGGAGGTGAGCAAAAACATCCTCTCCCTTCCCCCTTTCCCAGCAGTATAGAGATAATGAGAGAAAGAAGCAGTAAATGAACTTATTGCATCAATAAAGAGTTAAATGCATGTCAAATTTAGACTTTTAACTTTCAAATAAAATTGAATGGAGGGTTAAGACCCCGAATGTGGTGTTAACCTCAGAGTTGCCTTTTTAAAGTCATTTAGTCTCTGGTCTCCAGTTCTTTAGCTACTTTTATTGCAGGCACATGGTCTTTCAAATAACCAACAGCTGTGGGACTAAAATAAGAAAAAGGATGCTTCCAATACTAAGCAGTAAGATTTGAGGTGAGCAAGGCTTTTGGGGCAAGACCCTGGTGAGAGTGAGACCCTAGTGGAGAGACTGTGGCATTGCTGTGGATAAATGGTGGTAAGGTGTGCCTTGGGCCTTCTTGCATTTATGCTCGCCACGGTTGAAGATTTGGCTGTTCTTGCCAGATATCTGAAGGAGAAGCTGATTTGGAACTACTCTGAGGCAAACCTTGCTGGGTGATTTGGATTTGACTGCTGAACTGAAACTGGAGCCTGGATTTAAATTGTACCTTGAAACTGCTGCACTAAACCCTGGACTTATTTTGGGAGGCATTCTTTGCTTTCCTTAATCTCTAACTTGGTTCCTAATAAATCCCTTTGTTGGTACTATAACTGTGAGTCACTAACGAATAAATGAACTTCTTGCTGCTAGTGGGGCTCTACAGGCACCATGGGGCTGGTCTATGAGCTCTTTATCTGCTTTGTACTTTAGAGCAGTGACAAGCTGTACTATTCTTGCTGTCTCTTGCTCTTTCAGAATATGCTTATGGCCTTGTGCCTCTATCTCCCATTTTCCCATACATGTTGTGGATTGCCTTTGAGTCGAGCACTATGCACAGTGACCCTATGAACAAAAGGCCTGAAGCCTTTCTATAACTATCGTCATTTACCAAAGTTCATAGCATTTCCAGAGGCATGTTATTAAGGAAGATGGTGCCACTTGGTCCTGCCAAATATGGATCCTTCCCAGCCCTTCAGTACTCCAATAAAATTGGATAAAAGACTCTTAGCCCTGGTCTCATGGCAATGCAGTCCCAAGATCAACACCATCTCATGTCAAGTCTACAGTTCTCTGCTTTTGGCTGTTATTGCTGCTGCTGCTGCTGCTGTAAGTCTAGCAGAACAAGAATCTCTGGCCCTGAGAATGTGCTGCATTTTCTTGTTTCTACTTTTCTTGTGGTGAGATTTTCAAATTCTACTGCTGGATCTATCCATGTTAATGGTAAGACTAGCCAATCCTCTTGTGTTTAGGTTAGCACACCCTATTTTTAGATTACCACCCATCCACAGGGAAAAGTCAAAGTCAGTATCTAGGTTAGCCATTTTGAGCAATAAATCCTTAACATTACAATATGATTATAAATATATTTAAGATTTATAGGTTATGTTTTCTTATAATATTCTTATTGGTTTACATACAATAATTAATATACATTGTGTTTAATTCACATACATTTTATTTTATCTAATCTTTTATTTACATTGTATTTAATAATTAATAAACATATTTAATTAATATTGGTCTACTCTAAACATTGTATTTTATATATTTAAGTAATATTGATCTATACCTATTAGTACTATCTTTCCAAGTCCCTACTGAATATTTAGTATTCCTTCATCCTCATATTTGGCCACTAACCTCTGCTATCTTAGTAATTTCTACATTTCTTCTTGATCTTTTGAACATTTATATACATCTTGCTAGTAATCCTTCTATTTTTACAATAAAGGTCTTAGGCAGTATTTGTCTTTATGAGACAGAGTCATTTCACTCAGCATGATGCTCTATAGAGTCTCCTGGGTTATATAGTATTTTACAAAGTCATTCTTCCTTAGTGCTGCATAGTATTCCTCTGTAAGAATGTACCCACAGTTTCTCAATCCATTTGTTTGTTGATGGGCATTTGGCCTGTTTCCACTTTCTTGCTATTGCTACAGCCTAATGCTTTTATGAACATAGGTGTACATATCTCCATTTGTGTCTCAGTTCTAATTTCCTTGGGATATATTACTAGCAGCGGAATAGCTGGGTAATATGTGATTTCTGTGTTCAGACTTTTGAGGAAATGCCAAACTGCCTTCCAGAGTTGTTGAACCATTTTACATGGTCATTGTCAGTGTATGAGAGTGTCAATTTCTCTGTATTCTCTCCCACATTTATTACTTATTTTCCTGTTAAACTTTGCTACTGCTACTGGGTTGAAATGGTATCTCATTGTTGCTTTGATTTACATCTCTCTGAAAGCTAGTTCTTTTTCATAGTGCTTCATCTGTCTGCTGACCATCTGAATGTCTTCCTTTGTGAAAGGTCTTTTCATGTCTTTTGTCCATTTTGTGATGGAATTATCAGTCTTTTCTTGTGGAAGCCATGTAGTACTCCGTAAACTCTTGTTATGAGACTGTTTTCTGAAATACCATTGCCAAATGTTTTTTACTAGTCTGTAGGTTATTAACACTATTGGAAAAAAAAGGTTTTGATAGACAAAATGACTTAATTTTTAGAAGGCTCCATTCATGGATTTTTGTCGTCTCCTGGTTGTGTGTGTCTTGCTATATTTGCAAGCCCATTATGCCACAGACTAGGGTTTCTAAGTTTGATCCCATTTTGTCTCTTATGATCCTTATGGCTTTAGGTTTTTACCCCTAGATTGCTGATCTACCGTGACTTTATTTTTGTGTCTGGTGTGAGATGTGAATCCTGTTTCAGTTTTCTCAGATAGATGCAAAATTTTCCAGCCTCATTGGTTGACAAGATTGTCATTTCTACCAATTGATCATAGGTAGATGGGTTGATTTCAGGGCTCTTAATTCTGTTCTGTTGGTCTCTGTGCCAGATGTTGTACCAATTCAGTGCTGTCTTTAATACTGTGGTTGTATAGTAGATTTTGAAATTAGATCATAAGAAGCCTCTTAATTTATATTTGTTTTATAAAAGAGCTTTACTCATTCAGGGTCTCTTTTCTTTCCAAATAAACCTGCCAATTTCCTTTCCCACTATCTCTATGAAACATGACTTTGGTATTTGAATTGTGATTGCATTGAACTTATCAATTATTTTTGGTAGTATTCTTATTTTCACATTGTTGCCTCTTCCTATAGATGAACAAGAGATATTTTTCCATTTAACTAGCTAGGTCTCTTATTGTTTCTTATAAGCAGAGAGTACTAGAAAGATGCATATTTGTGTTTTATTGACTATGCAAAGGTGTTTGACTGTGTGGACTACAACAAATTGTGGATAAAATTGAGAAGAATGGGAATCTCAGAAAAATTGAGTGTGCTTGTGTGAAACCTATACCTAGACCAGGAAACAGAACAAGGGAACACGGCCTAGTTCAAAAAGAAAAGAGAAAAAAAGAACACATCAGGTATGTATCCTATATGTAATCTATATGTGGAACTACAGATAATTTGAGAGGCTGGACTTTATGAAGAAAAATGTTGCATCAGCTGTGGAGGAAAACTTAACAACCTATGTTATATACATAACACAGCCTTGCTCAATAAAGCTGAGGAAAATTTGAAGCATTTGCTATGGAAGATCAAGAACTGCAGTCTTCAATATGGATTGTATCTCAATATAAACAAAACAAAACAAAGGTTTCACTACCAGACCAATTGGAAGTATTATGATAGATGGAAAAAAGATTGAGGTTGTTAAGAAGCTCATCTTGCTTGGATTCAGTCTATGTTCTTGGTATTCGCAGTTAGGAAATCAAAATATGAGTTGCTTTAGGAAAGTCTGTAGCTAGGGACCTCTCCAGAGTGCAAAAGAGCAACAGTGTCTAGAGTCAAAGGTGTGCCTGATCCTGGCCATGGTCTTCTCAATTGCTTGCTGTTCATCTGAGAGCTGAATGATGACTATGGATAACTAACAACGAATTGATGACTTTTAGTTGTGGTGCTGGAAAAGAGTATTAAACATACCATGGACTACCAAGGGAACAAACAGGTGTGTCCTGAAGAGAGTGAGACTAAGCTGCTCATTGGAGGCAAGGATTTTGAAACTCTGTCTCACACTTTGAGCATGTTGCCAAGAGAGATAAGTCCTTAGAGAAGAACATCATGCTTGGAA